AACTGTAGTTGCAGCGCATGTATATAGCTTTTGACAGCAAACGTTTGATCCTAGAGGTGGTTTGTTCATGCGTATATATCTTTTGAGAGTAAGTATCATTGCAGATGTAGTTTATTCACAGGTAAATTACACAGTTATTCACAGTGTAAGTACTAGCTAGACCAGTAAACGTACAGTTGCGAGGGAAGTTTGTTCACATGAATATCTATAGCTTTTGATAGTGAGTATGGTTATGGAATGAGTTTATTCACAGCTATACAGCTTTTGACAGTAAGTGTTCGGATGTTCGGTTTCAGAGGTAGTTTAATCACAGGTTTGTGGCTTTATAGAGTAACTGTAGTAGCACAGTGAGTTTATTCGCAGCTAAATAGCCTTTGACTGTCATTGGGTCTATCGTGGCTCATAGGGTCTATGTCCCCCAGGGTACTGCCGGAACATATACCCTGGTAACTATCTGATATGGTTAGGGTTAGGAGTAGGTGTAGGTGACTCCCTAGACTCGTTAGTGGAGTAGGCGAGGTACGGTCTGGCATATTAGATAGTAACGGTACGTTCCGGTATACCGGACCGTACCCAGGGTACGTTCCGGCAGTACCCTGGGGGACATAGACCCTCTCAGCTGTAGTTGCAGCATTAGCGTATTGCCGTATTCACTGTTGCCCTCCACAGAAGCCACGTCATTCACAGAGGATCAACTCTTCCCCTGGAGAGCTTTCCTCACCAGAACTCCATTCCCGTTTCCTGACATCGCCGCCTGCCCAGTTCAAGGAGAAAGGAGATGTAAAGGATGATGATGCTAAGGACGTGGCAGGGGACAAAGATAAAGGTATACTACTTTTTAATTTCAATTAGGTGCTTGGTACCTGGCTTTATTGCTATGTCTTTGTCAGTAATAGCAGGTCTATCAATTATATATATTATCTAGATGTTAAAATTGATTCCACAGTCCTGTCATTAGAAACTATTGGAAAAATTATATCTGTCATTGGTCTAGGATGTCACAACTTCTGTGCAACTTTTTAGGGGATACTTATGAAGGATACCTTTATAGGAATTGTTTTTGCAATAAAATGTATATGTAATATATCATGTAATATATGTAATCTTACGCTCTTGATAACCTTCTTAATACGCTCTTGACGTAATATGTGTGTATTGCAGTGGTCACAAACTCATGCAGATTATGGAAATCTCGGTGGTTTCTATTCGGTGATGTGTATCCCGCTCCACACACAACACACTTCTCAACGAAGAATATGGAGGGAGAGGTAAGGAAAGAAAAACGAAAGCCTTCAATAACAGACAAAGATTTATGAAATGTAAGGGAGTGAAGGGGATTAGAATTAAGACAGACAAAAGAGAAGGGCAAAAAGGCAAATAATTTTTTTAGGGAATGTATGAAATCGCCTTAAATGTTTCGTTTAACAATGGGATAAGGCAGAGGCAATTTAAAAGCCACCATAGCGCAACTCTCAAAATTTGAGAAGTGCACCCAAGGCACTTTTGTAAAAATAAAGAAAACTCTAACAAAAATCAGGTACATCAACATCGTCTTGCTTTTAAATGTAACAAAACAATTGCCCCATGTAAGCTTACAACGCATTAACACCCCCCCGCGCACCTGTACCCTCTGCCTAATTGAAGTAAGTAACAAGATAATTTTTAATGCCGCTACTCAGGACGAACTAATTATCGCGATGCTCGTTATTTCATTCGACTCACCTGGAACTCCAATCGTTTCAAGTCTATCATCTGCAACTACAGCACTGCATGCCAGGCACCAAGGTGGCGATTAGTAGATGGAGACCCGCCGCACTAAAAACGAAACTAGGGCAAGTAGATTCAAAAGGCACCTGACGCAATTACACAAAAGGGCAAAGGCAGGTGACTGCCGTCGGTCGGTTGGAATTTTCAGGGGGCAGCTACGGCATAATTGATAGGGACTCCGACGGCAAATTGCGTCGTGCCGTCGGTTAATTCGAGCCCTGTCGGGGAGGATCAACCACATTTTCGACTGACAGTCAACCATCGGGCTCTGCATGCCGGTTGCCCACAAG